GTGTGTGTGTGTGTGTGTGTGTGTGTGTGTGTGTGTGCGCACACAGGTGTGATGTAGAGGGGCATGCATGCCATAGTGTGCATGTGGAGGTCCGAGAACAAGAAGGTAGCAGGTTTCTCTCTGCACCGCTGCACCATATGGGTCCCAGGGACTCAAGTCAAGGCTTGGTGGTAAGTGTTTACTCACGGAGCCGTCTTACCACGCCCCCTTACTTACTACTTTTTTATGTATTTTATGTGTGTTCACATGTGTGTGGATGTGGGTGCCCATGTGGAGGTCAGAGACTAACTTTCAGGAGTTGGTTCTCTCCTTCCCCCATGTGAGTTCCTGGGATCAAACTCAACTCATCAAGCTTGGCGGCAAGTGCTTTAAGTTTCTGAGCCATCATGCTGGCCCACTTTTTATTCAGTCTGGGATCCCACCCCCGTGGAATGGTTCTGCCCACACCCAGGGTGAGTCTTCTCTCTCAATTAACCCTCTCTGGAAACATCCTCAGAGACACACCAAAGAGGTGTGATTCACTAGTGCACTACCCATTTCTTAATTGAATCAAGTTGACCATGGACTTCAACCAGCACACCCAACCCCCTTAGTTTATCCATTCTGGAAATGCCTTCAACAAAACACCAGTGTATTTCCTAGGCTCACCAATCTCCTAGGCTTTCCTCAGTTCTGTCAATCCAGATTAACCATCACGTCTGGGGTTGAAATAGAGAGATGGGTGAGTTCATAGATGAAAGAATAAATAGGTAAATGAATGTAAAAGATGGATGGATGGACAGGTGGGTGGATGGATAACACAGATTAATGGGCAAGTTAGTGGGGGTGGACAGGTAGATAGATCATTGGATGGATGGATGGATGGATGGATGGATGGATGGATGGATGGATGGATGGATTGGGTGGATGGATGAAGGATGGATAGATGGATGGATGGGTAGTGGGATACATGGATAGATAAAGAACGAACAAATGAGATTAGTGAATGAGTTAGTGTTTTGATGGATGAAGAGTAGATAAATGGAAGGATAGACTGGAGGATAATTAGTGGATGGATGGATGGATGGCTAGATGGCTAGATAAATGAACACTAGATAGTAGTTGTATTGGATAAGTTATTTGGTGGGTGAATGGAACACAAATCATTAGTAAGACTGATGTTTAATTTGTACATAAAATTCATACTAGGCTACAGTTATAATTATAATAATTTCCAGTGTGTGCATGTATGCCTGTGTGTATGCATGTGTGTGCATGTATATGGATCAGTTCTCCTCTGTCCTCAATATCCAGTCCAATACATAGCCAGGACAGAGGCTTTCTGGTGGGTGCAAGCAGGTTCCTCCCCTGCTCTCTGAACATCATCCTGTCTCCCCCTGCCCCTCACCCAGGCTCGGAACAGCTGCCCTGGACCCTTGGACCCCAGTACCTTTTTGAGCTCTGACTTCCTTCTTCCTGAAGACCCAAAGACCAAGATCCCACCTGCTCCTGTACCGACTCCCCTCCTTCCATACCCCACCCCTGCCAAGGCACAGGGCTTAGAGCCCTGCACGCCACCTCCCTTCCCTACAATGGCTCCGCCCCCCGCTCTGTTGCCGGAAGAGCCCCTCTTCTCCGCCAGGTTCCCCTTCACCACAGTCCCTCCTGCTCCAGGAGTGCCTCCACTTCCTGCCCCCACCACCTTCGTTCCCACCCCACAGCCTGGCCCTGCCCCTTTCCCTGTAGACCATCTGCCCCACGGGTACCCAGAACCTGTCTTCAGGCCTCACTTCGCCGTGCCCCAGGACATGCAGCCCCGATGCAAGCCCTCCGTCCCATCCCCTGGTGGACCGAAAGCCAGTCCCCCTACCTTGGCCCCTACCACTGCCAGCCCCACCGCCACTGCCCGAGACAACAACCCTTGCCTTACCCAGCTTCTCAGGGCAGGTGAGATGGGGGAGGCAGGTGGACAAGGTGCTGGGAGGGACCAGCTCTGAAAGGAGTGGGCAGGCTACTAGGGTGGCAGGCTTGGGGCACAGAGACAGGGCGGGATGACGTTAGGGACATGAGCTCTCTCTGGTAGGGGTGTGTGGGCTACGGGGCAACAAGAAGGGGTCTTAATTGGTGATGGACTTGATTGGGCCAGTCTAGTGGTCCTCATAGTCCTGCCTGTACCCAGCCAAGCCTGAGCAAGCACTGGACCCTCCAACTGTGCCCAGCACCCTCCTGCGGCCCTCAGAGTCCCCGGTAAGATGATGGATGGGCACTGGGGTGTCAGGGTCAATCTGGGGCCTTTACCCCAACTCTCTGCCCTTCTCCATCCCAGCAGGACACAGTCTCTGAGCTCCCCCGTGTCCGTGCCTTCTTCCCCCCAATCCCGGCCCCTACACCACCTCAGCCACCTCCATGCCCAGCCACATTGGCCCCTCCCAGGTCCCTGATTGTCCCCAAAGCGGAGCGGCTCTCACCCCCAGCGCCCAGCGGTAAATAGGGGCTAGAGGGATTGTGGGTCTTAGAGGGGGGGGGGCGGGGGGGTGTGTGACTGGGGTCAGGATGACAGGGACGGGGCAAGGGGACCTTCTCCCTCGTGTGTCGGTCTGTCTGTGGGTCTGTCCCTGCCACAGGCAGTGAGCGGCGATTATCAGGGGATCACAGCTCCATACCACCCACGGGGGCACTGAGTGTCCACCTGTCTTCCCCTCAACCTATCCTAAGCCGGGGTCGTGTAGACAACAACAAGGTATGTGCCCTCTCCTGGCCCCCAAGATGCACTTGCTACCAGTCTTATCCCCTCAACACACCACACACACACACACACACACACACACACACACACATACACGCACACACACATGCACACACGCACACACCACACACACACACACATACACGCACACACGCACACACACATCGCACACACGCGCACACACACACACACCGCACACACGCACACGCACACACGCACGCGCACACACACACCCCGGCTTCCCCTGGATTCATCCCGCTTTCTGCTTTCCAAGATGGAGAACCGACGCATCACACACATCTCCGCGGAACAGAAGAGGCGTTTCAATATCAAGCTAGGATTCGACACCCTTCATGGACTTGTGAGCACGCTCAGTGCCCAGCCCAGCCTCAAGGTGAGCCCCCAGCCAGAGGTGCACACTCCCTTAGAGTCGTGGAGCCCCTCCTTGGACCAACACCCAACACCAGATCCCAGGGCCTGCCAGCACGGAGGCCCACACTGGTGGCGCTCGCAGGTGAGCAAAGCGACCACGCTGCAGAAGACGGCCGAGTACATCCTGATGCTGCAGCAGGAGCGGGCGGCCATGCAGGAGGAGGCGCAGCAGCTGCGGGATGAGATAGAGGAGCTCAATGCTGCCATCAAGTAAGCAGGGGTAGAGCTCAGCAGAACACCTGCCTGGGATCCCCCAGTGAGGGGCTGGGGTGTGGCTCAGTGGTAGAGCCCCTGCCTGGGATCCCCCAGTGAGGGGCTGGGGTGTGGCTCAGTGGTAGAGCCCCTGCCTAGAATCCAGTGAGGGGCTGGGGTGTGGCTCAGTGGTAGAGCTCCTGCCTAGAATCCCCCAGTGAGGGGCTGGGGTGTGGCTCAGTGGTAGAGCACCTGCCTAGAATCCCCCACTGAGGGGCTGGGGTGTGGCTCAGT